CCTTCAGCTGAGGATGTATGGGTTTGGGTTTGCAAAGTGGATAAAAACTGTGGTCTGGCAAGCCTCAGAGCCGTGGTGCATAGCCAAACGCAGATAAAGAGAAGCAAATCAGGAAATAACATTTTACTTTCAGAGTTTCGTTGGCCTCGTCGGGACCGTATGTCATGTGGTCTAAAAGCCCACAGAGCGGCCTCTCCAGCGCGTCGCCTTCAGGGCAAACGCAAACAATTTCAAGCATTAAGCTGCACGTAAGATTAATTGATGTTGTCATGCGATATCAATCCCAATGGTGCTCAGGAAAACGTAGACAAACATTCAGACCGAACGAGAAGAGAGTCGGCTCGCGCTACCAGTCTGCGTTCTGTCGTCCCCGAACTTAAATATAGATTTCTCGTGCCTTTTTAAGGAGCTGATTAATATACAGTCATTCATTATTTCTGCAGGTTCTGGTGCCGTGTGTCGCTGCAGGGCCAGATTTCACCCCTCTCAGCTTGTTTTGGCCTCCTCTCAGCTGACTCTCTGCCTGGGAAAGTGTCCCAGTGTATTCATAGAGGAAAGGATTGGACGATAAGAGGTGGGAATGAACAGAATGAGATAGTGATATTTCATGCTTCGGTATCACGCTCCGCTCACCGAGTCCGGGTCTCTCTGTTGCTCTAGGAAGGCAGAGAACTCCACCAGTCGCAGTTTCGATGTGCCGATGGAGCGGCCCTGCCACGCTGGTGCCGTGGGCGCTGGAGCTGCTGTGGGCTCGTAACCTGCGACGATAGAAGATTAATCCTCACTGTGGCCTGTTTTCAGTACAGCAAGATTATTTTAAAACATGAACCCCGGTCATATGAGGGACGTCAGGTTTGTTGATGTCGGCCTGAATGCAGTGCAGCTACAACTCTCTTTGTTTCCAATAAAAACTTCTTTAAAGATTACACGCTAAAATGAATTCATTATTTATGTGCAAAGTCACCAACTACTGGTCTGTGCACATCCATAATAAGCTTGAAGTGACTGTCTGCAGTATGTGATTGTTCCCTTTTGATTAACATCATCCGAGCTGTTTTATTTTATTTTATTTTCTTAAATGAAGAGATAAAACAAATAAATCTGCTGAAACTGATCTTGAATCTTTGCTCCCTCCCTCCTGGACTGTAGATAAGGTGCTCGATAAGGAGGAAACGTAGGTTCAAAGTGTCAAAACCCACCTGGAAACGCTATCGCTGAGCGCATTTCCTTCTACGGCTAGACTGAGTTTAAAGGAGCAGAAGGAACTAAAGAAGCTCTAAATGTTTTCAAATGATTCGAGGGGAGGGACAGAGTGCACAACAGCTAGCTTGTCTACTACGTTGTGTAGGTTAGAAGGTGGATTTAGTGGTGAAAGAACGTGTGGTGTTTCCACTTTTTGCAGTAAGGTAAAGTCTCACTTGAAATGGCTGTTGTGACTGCTGGCTGGATGGGATAGGGCTGCTGGGTGAAAGGCTTGATACTGGAACAGAAAGAAGACAGAGTCAGGAATAAAATACTCTGTTTTTGTACACTGAAGGTTCTTCTGTGACAGTAAAAGTACGATACTCACTCTTGTGAGGATCCTGGCTGACCAGTGGATATCATGCCCTGCCATAACTGCAGAATTAGACGTATAAATACACAGCAGAGAACAAAACAACAAAGAACATCCAATTCTGAGCAGCTGCTAGCGACAAGATCAACATGGTTCTTAGCTCTGTGTTCAGTGGATGTAGTTATCTTGACTACCACTCCTTTTGATCGTGTGCTTATCTGATAGGGGCAGTTGTGCAAAGCTGTGGTGTGTAATGTGATTTGGCCCGAGTGTCGGTGCGGTTGGCCCTGTTGCTGCCCTGGGTGAAGCTGGACAGGATGGATCAATAGTGGGGTGCCGGGGAGGCTCTTACCCCTGCTCCAGGGAAGGCTGGGCGAGGGATGCCTGGCAGACCGAGCTTGTTGTGAATAGCCGTGGCAGAGACTATCTGAGCCGAGGACATGGAGGCCATGCTCTGGAGGGCTTTGTCCTTCACGGCTTGGTCCTTTAATAGCAGTCACAAAAGGCTTAGCACTCACACAGAAGGGAGAGGAGGGGCATGTTGCAGAGGTAGCAACAATCAGACTAAACAACACGCTGAAAGCACCGCTGACCTCTCTCACAACAGTAAACAGCAAGCAGGTTAAAAGAAGCAGCATCGGCACTGCTATGCTAAGTGTATTTTCTTTTTTTTTTGTTTTTGAAGGTATGCGCTAAACAATGGCGGCTGAATTCCAGTGTACTATGGCTAGTACTGGTATGCACTTAAAAGTTTGCTTGTTGACTAATCTGCGACTAAAATACTTTTTTTAAAAAACTCATTCAGAAGCACTTCTATCAAGGTTGCATTTGTCTGCACGTCAGAACGCATCACGTCGACGCATCCCAAAGAATTCTTCAAGTAAAACTGAAGGACACGAGTCATACTTTTGCAACTCTGGTTACTTCCTTTTTTTTTTTATTTAAACTTTTAACAAGAGGTTTTCATATTCTGAGGATACATCTGCATTTTTTTTTTTTTTTGGTAAATGTTATGACTTGAATGCAATAATTTAAAGAAGCAGAGAAAGCTCTAAAGCAGCCGTATGCTACTTTTTGTGAATAAAGGTGAAGCGATAAATACAGCAGCGTCGTGCACACGTGGGCGACCCACACACACACACATGCAGACTGACAGAAGCTACAGGTAAGCATGCTGGCAGTAGACACCGGTGGAGTCAAGCTACTGTACGATGACACGCAGACACGCCGGTAAACGCTGGAAAACACTGTGCAGCAGCTATTGTGTCACTACGGCAGGAGCACAGATGCAAAACTAGCAGCCGAAGGACGAGGCAGGCCCTAATTAAAGCAGCATCACAAGTAGAAAACAAATACTTACCATACTTGTAACCTGAATGCAAACAAAAAGGGTTTTCGTTGTAAATGTGCAATTAAACTGCTTGGAGCCTGAGCTACGCATGAAAACGGCTCCCAACATCAATTCAAATTCATTCCAAGTGAACTTCTTAACATGCACAGATGTGTAACGAACACTTCTTTTTTTTTTTTAAGGATTAGGAAATTAGTATTTACAAATTGTCCTTGGTCTCTGTGGCCAAAGTCACGCTCTCTCTAATTTTCCCAATCTGATCGGTGTTCATCACACGAGAGAAAACAACAGAACAGTAACGTAATGACTGTAATTTCAGTGAAAGGCCAGGGACGAGACCACAAACAGCAGGTTTCGATGCCCCCCAAAATGAAGGGCACACTTGTGTTTCTCTTCGCCACTCTGAACTCTAATTTGCTTTAAATGAGCAAAGACAGGGATTCATACAAAAGCTGTCTGTTTTTCTTCAGACAGCCGCCTGTGCCCCTGAAAGACCAGGCATTCATGTGGCTAGCTGCCTGTCTGACTCTGTCTCTCACACACACACACACTCTCACACACTCACACACACTCTAACACACACACACACACACAGATTAATGAGGGGTCATTAATTTGTGTTGAATACTGGGAGTGGAGCAAAGTGTGAAAGTCAAAACGTATAGTCGGCTCCCCCAAGAAAAGAAGAAAATAGCACATGGGTGGAGAGTCCTTTGATATACAAGCATTACTTCATAAAATACCTTAAATTACAGGTCAGTATTATTCAAGATTACTTCTTTCACAATGCTCCTCTCCCTCCTCTCCCCCCCATTTTAATCTGCCCTCCTTGAAAAGCTTTCTTCAGTGATTTTTTTTAACAGATTTCACTATTTCTGAAATAACTGACAAGAACGCTCCGAAATGACGACATCTGAACCGGGAGGAAGGAAAGCGACTGACAGCCGCGGCATTGTGTGAGCCTTGAGTTATCAACAGATTGAAGGGAGAACAAGAAAAAAGCAGAGGGGGCATTTCAGAAACAGCCAGCTTCACGGCCATTCTGCGCTCTGAATGTGCACCGCTGAGCCTTTTGACGGCGGGGAAAAGTTGGGTTACGTTGTCAAAGGAGGTGGAGGTGTAATCCCTTCATTTTTAAACACAGACCCCACTTGCCATGCCCCCTTCTTTTTTTTTTTTTCTTTAAAATGAAATCTGCTTAGTAGGGGATGTAAGCAGACCGATTTTTTTTTTCAGCTCTCAGCCACTCACCCACAGCCAATGCCAGCATGCTTCCTGACATGTGCACACTCTGATTTTGGCTTTACTCAATCATTACATATAGCTTAGAAATAAGTAAGAGCCTGAGCAGTGAGTAAACTGAGCCAATGCATGTGTGTTATTGTGGCCTGCACTGGTGTAGAAGTCAGCCAATAACAAACAAGAAACTACAGAACTGTGCTGTGCTTACGTTTGGACTCATGCTAGCGGCTCTGCTTGATCAGAGGAATATCTTAACTCGTTTTAAATGGTCTACTAGGAAATGTTATGGTCGCCAAAGGATGAAACCTGCTGACTTTATTTAAAGTCACAGTCAGGTGTCATTTTTTTGGTTTATGGTGAAATAGGAGTGAAACAACTATCCAATCAAAGACAGTCTGGTGCCTCCGTCGCATTTAAATCGTAATTCGTTCAGTGTTTTGTTTCTAAATGCTTATAAAGCTAAAGACAATCCCATCAGCTTCAGCTTTACTTTCTGTTTGGTGCTAACTATGCTAGCTTGCTAACATGCTAAACTGAGATATGTGCATATGTTGCTAATGTTAGCATTTAGCTCAACGTACAGTCCGACAGAGCCACTAGCATGACTAGAGTGCCTTTTTGGTGAAAGTTTAAAAAAATAAAATAAAATTTAAATAAAAAATTTAAGAGATTCAACACTGTGTTTTACGCTTTCTTTTTCTTTTTTTTTTTTGCATATTCGCCAATATACTGGCTATCTGGTATGAAATTCCTAAATGCATCACTGGTCAGGCTCTTGCATAATTTAACTAACATACTTTGGAAATAAAAATCATGTTTCCACGTTGTTCTAAAGAGTCGTGGGTACGATGTGCAGCTGCTGTCAAAGCAACGGCCCGTCATGAAAAGTGAAATAATGAAGACAGAACAGTGGCAGCGTGTCAGTATGGATGAGGGAAGACTGAAGAAGGCGAAGGAGAGGTTAGAGAAACCTGAACAGACTACAGTCAGCAGAGGATTGGGGTTGGAGGGAATCAGAGCACCAAGCATTCACTCTGTCACCACAGGAAACAGGAAGTTAAGACGCACAGCAACCAACAAGCCCAAAAGCAGAAAAGCGCATACCTTTAGCTTGGAATGAAACTCACGAGATTTCCTTCTGGCAAGAACCTGAATGTGACTAGACACCTGCGGGGTAGGGGAGGGGAGGAAAACAAAGGAAGAGCCTGTAACCATGGCAATGAAAAGCCCCCTGCAACTGGGCAAAGCCAGACGTACCTTAATGGCAGCTTGGATTTCTCGAACTTTCTTTCTTGCTAAGACCTGTATGTGACTAGACACCTCCATTAAAAAAAAAAGAGAAAAGGGAAAATAAAAAAACAAGAAAATCCAAAAAAAAAACAAAAGGAAAAAAAAAAAAGTACAAAGTGGATTACACATTTCTTTGTTTAAAAACACTTCAGGGAGATAAGGTGCATAACAGAAGCATCTCCAAACCGCACACCAAGCTAACAGCCAATAAAGCGTTATGCTGTGTGTTGTCGTCACTTAAGTGAACTGATTAAGGAGGATGCAGGCCCCTTTAGCACACATTAAGAGCACACAGATGTGATCCGCTGTGTGCTGAATGAAAATTGGCTCGTCTAGTATCCTTACGGGAGCCGGGCGAGGCATTTCACCGGCCAAGTTCACCGCCGATGTTTGTACAGTCGAAAATTATTTTATGTTCTCGGATGAAACGTTAAGCAGCAGTTAGAAAGAGAAGTAAGTGTGCTGATGACAGCTCTGAGAGGTGGATTTACATCCTCCCCCGGCGCTATTCGCGTAAATCACGCCCAAGGTGAGTACTCCAAACAGAACCGGAGTGATTTAACAGAAAAGCATCATCAAGTGCTTCCTCTGCGGCTAAATATTTACATTATTCAGAGCGCGTGAATGCCAAACATTTCATTTAAATCCAATTAATTTACCGTGAAACGAATAATTGTTGCGGCTTGTTTTGTCCACGTGTGTTCGGTTTACTATCACAGAAAAATAACAGGAAGCCGGTGAATTAAAGATCAAAATTGCTGCTAATTTGATCTCAATTAACTAATCAGTTAATCAGCTACACGCAGCACACGACAACCAGGAACAGATGTGTTGCTTTGTGTCGCCGTGGGTAAAGAACTCTCTCTTTGATTCTGTGTTGAGTCACAGAGAGGCGAACCACACCACGGCCTCTCTGGTCCAGACTGATCAATCCACACGCAGTGATCGGATGTCACCGGCGACGCTGGCTTGTTTATCGCTGTCATGCAACTCAGTGGTCATACTGGGAATTTCCCGTTCAGAGGGAGCATCAGTGGGCTTCATAGTGTTACCGAATTCAATATCAGAGCTTCTGAATACAAAAAAATATCCTTTCATTTGTTCCTGCACGACGATTCTTACGTGTCATAAATACCAAGTAAAGATTAAGTGCCTTAAACGCTGCATTATTTATACTACATTTGCGTGACATAATTCAGAAATCTGAGCTCAACTCTGCTTTGATGGATGACACCGACGTATTAAGGCTTTCACCTTCCTATTAATGAAGGCTTCCACTCTGGCCAAGTGCACAACCACAATGATTTAGTCATAAGGGACAAGGTTTCTCTGTGAAGCTGAGACTCTTCAGACTCTTGTATTTTACTGTATGCAGCCATAAAAAAGGCTGACATATTGTATGTAAAAGCTTTTCTCTACCAAAGCTACACTTCTATGTGTCCTTACGAGCGCGAGGAAGAGTGACAATTTTGGGAGGATGTCATAATCAAGGGCAACACAGCGGTGACAGGGGACTTGTCAGCCTCTGAAGTCCCCTCGACAGCTTAGCATTGTCATCTCGCTTTGTGTCTCCCAAACAGAAACAAAGGCAGCCGTCTATATTCAAACGTGACAGCCCTCTGACACTCGTGCAACAGAGACGTCTCCCCTCGCCCTCGTCTTACCTGCTTCCGGGTCCTCGTCTTCCCGGTCCGGAGCTTTATGTATCGGGCTATCAGCTCGTTTCGACCTGAAAATGAAGAAAAACAGGTTTAATATAAAAACACAATATCTACAACAAAACAATAATCAGAGGTAATCTTGCAGCGGGAGTAAAAATACTTTGGAAAACACACAAAATAAACACACTGAGGAATCAAGTTTGTGTGTTGTGGTTCCACTCGTACTGGGCAGGAGTGCAACAACACATCATCAGTCGGGTAAAGCTAACCGGTGTCACGACGGTCTAAGCCCAGCTCACGTTCCCTAAATGGTAAATGGTCTGCACTTATATAGCGCTTTTCTACTTTTGCGGCACCCCTACTAGTGGGTGGACAATCCAACACTTGGTGAATTCTGCTTCACAATGATAGCCGACATCGACGTTAAAAAAGCGACGTCGCTATGAACGCTACAGGCCAGTTATCCCCGTGCTAACTTTTCTGACACCTCCTGCTTAAAACCCAAAAAGTCGGACGGATCATGAAGCCCCGCTTTCACGGTCCGTACTCGTGCTGAAAGTCAGGATCGAGCAAGCTTTTGCCCCAGCACACCGGGAATACAAGTTCAAATCTTTCCCATTTTATATTGGACTGACTTCACGTAGGGGGGCATGATGGGTAATTAATGCTGTCAAGCTGCAGGAAAAGCCAAACGAAGATTATCAGTTAAAAACTAAAAATGTAATAAAGTTATTGACCATGATGCTTTTATAAACACCTTTGTGCAGCTTTCTACACAGCTGCTGATTCCTCTCCTAGTCCTGGAAAAGCACACAAAGCTATAACATAAATAAAAGCGAGTACATGCTAATCAGGAGGTATGTACAAACCAGATCCAGCTTTCTTGTGACAACACCATGTGACATTAGCATGAAAAAAAAAACTCACAGCAGCAGCAGCAGCAGCAGCACAGCCTTTAAAATTAATCTAATTCAATCTCATTCTCTTCAAAGCCCAATGCTTTGAAAGGAAACAGACCGAGCTGTTCATACTATTACAGAAAATAATGGCGACTGAATATATTGGGTTTAAAACAGTGCAGCTCTGACTAAATTATAATTAAAGCATAGCTTTGTAGAGATTTCCAATTAACAACGGCCCCTAACATTCTTCTGCCCTCAGCTCTGCTCTAATTGCTGCAGCAATGCACATGACCCCTGCTTAGCCCTTTCATATGGTAATAACATGCCGCCAACCAAAACTATTACACAAATTATAGGTAAGGAGGCACTCTAATTATGTGTCCAGCTGTAGCCAACCAATGCCATGGATCTGCTTTACTCCTCTACGAAATTCACCAAACTCTCATTACGACGAATCATTTTTCTTCCTTTACTTCATTATCAATTAAAGGCCTCGCTATTGTGGCGACACAATGGGACCACAACGCACCACCCTCGTGCTAATAAGCTGTATCTCAGGGAATCGGACGGAAAGGCATCTTCTATCAATGGCAACACATCGGGGATGGCAGAATGTGATAGAGCGCAGGAGTCGATCTGAGACGCATGAATGTGGATAACGGACACGGTGGGTAGGCCCAGTGTGTGGAGGACAGAGGACGACGCTTGTTGTTTGTGTGACGGGAGAATAAAGAATTTAGGTTGAAGCCTCGACTTGGAGGCGCTGAATAAGAAATCAAGGTGAGATGCTAAATGACAGACACTGTTGGTATCACAGGATGAATCACAACCATCTATTTGTTATTTAGAAATGGTTATAAACATCTCAGAGGCCACAGTGGGCGTAAATGTTTGTCCAATGTTTCCTAAAAAGCCAAAAACAGATTCTCAAAGTTGCTGCAAATCTTTAGAGTAACGACTTAATGGACTAATTGTTCACCTCATATAAAGATGTCCTTCCTGCCGTCTCTCTTTTGTTGAAGCTAAAGGTCAATAGATGCAAGAAAAGTTCACAATGGAATTACTTAATTCTCAGCTAATGAGTTGATTTTATTCACAGGAATCATTTTAAAACCGCCCGGTGGTGAAAGAGGGATTTTCCAGCCTGATGTAGCATTTTACAGCCTCTTGAGCTTTACGGTAAAAGGTCAAGTCTTCTGTCAGAGCTCGGCGAGTTGAAATAAGAACATCGTCTACGCCCTTCAGCTACACCAGCTCTTTGATGCCTGCAACACCTGGCCGTGTGCTGCGCCTACACATTCAGAGAGCGAGAGGCGGGGCTCGTAGTTTGTAGTTTGACCCCGGAGCTCTTTTTTCACACTGAACATGTCGGCGGGCCGGCCCGAGCGAAACCCGGTCACGTGACACCACAATACAAACAAACAACATCTGGGGCTGTGCGATTCCAACATGCCTGTCCAGTGCGCCTGCAGTGTAAACTTCAGCAGATGAAGCAGGGACCTGCACTATTTTCAATAATTCACACACTGTGGAAACACAACATGACAATACAGGCATTCATGCAAACTCCTGATTCCTAGATCAAAGCACACAAATGGCCAGCTGAAAGCTTGCTTACTGTTGAATAATTCATTCTTTTCACCAGGCTGGAGAAAAAAAAAAAAAAAAAAAGCTCAGTGGGTCCTGGCTAGCCAGCAATCTTTTTTTCCTTCCCTGTGTTTGTGCTGCAAAATAACAATTGCTGCAAAAAAAAAAAAAGGAAAAAAAAAATGTGACTGTCCATGTTAAGGACTCAAAATGTTTTAGACACAGCTCTGCTTCTGTACACATGAAATTCATGAGGTGTAAAATTTTCCACAAACTAACAAAGAAATTATCTTACAAAAAAAAACACAAAACCCACAAAAAGATAAATCTTTGTGGCAAGTAGAAACTTGGCCTTGTGGAGCAGATTTTATGCTGATTTTATCATTTGCAATTCTAACTTAGATTTGTCCTCATAGTTCACATTTATGTTGGATTTGCTTTGGTAGTAATCACAGTGTTTAACTGGAGTGTTTGTTTCTCTGCCATGAGTTCACAGGAAAGCTTACATCAAATCCTTCATTCATTTAGTTAGAAGATAAAAGTCGTTTCTGGTATTTATGATGTAAACAATGAATTGGTCATCGAAAAGGATGCGCGTGATGATTAAATAAAATAATAAGGATAAAAATATAAGAGATATTCCCTGTATCTGAAAAAAAAACAACAGCTGCATTTTAATTGGAGTTACATCTTCAACACTATTTTATTCAGTTTTTTAGCGTTTTCATCGAATAACACTTGATTTAAGTTGGAACGTTTGTCACCCAAATCCTAACTAAGTACTTCAGCTGCACTATTTCATATATAAATATTCTGAAACTGTTTATATTTAGCTCTTTTTATCCTTGCACTACTTTTATATATATTTATAGTTATAGTTTACAGGACTTACTAACAAGTTACTGCCTCACTAGCTTCAGTTTCCAGTAGCCAAGCAATTCATTCCCAGATTCACGATTGTGTTTTTGTGCAACAACAATTAAGATTTGGGTCCATCAATTTAAAGGGTGTACAATTAGGACCACTAAAATGCAGTACACCGCTGCATAGTTTATTGGGGAACAAACACATCAGAGCAGAAATCTTTTGTCAAAAAAAAGCTCTTTCTCTGTTTAACATGATTTCTTCTTATTAGCTGTCAAAGTCCGTCCCTCAGGGTTAAGTAAAGTCTTTGTAGAAAGGCCTGGACGGGGCTGAGAAAATTAACTCTTCATGGGGTATTCCTGTCACTCAAAGCAGCGGGACGAGGATTAAATATTTAAAGTGTTACCCTGAGCAGATCTGTTGTGTTCAGCAGCTGGAGGATCTCTCCACCTGGCCACAGTGAGCTCGCTCTCTCTCTCTGTCTCTGTGAATCTCAATGACTGTGGAGGATCCGCCACATATGAATGGCACTCCAGCAGCAGCCCCACAAAAGAGACGGTGGCTCAACTTTCTCCAGACCATCCCCAAGTAGCTCATTCCTCATTCAGTCAGAAATCCAATTTGGCCCTCAGCATCCGTTCTCCAAGAAACCTGGGACAGGCTCC